GCACACAGAGATATTCCTTCTATAGTATACCTGGCCTATCCTGTAACCAAGAAGGAAGCACGATGCCGAGTCGGTCTGTTTGGAGTTTGGAGGCACATCCTCACTTGGTGTGTTATTTCCTATCATAAACCAAGTGACTCAAAAATCTGCTAGTTTTTAGAGGGGCTGCTCTACCACTTGGGCCATACAATCCAGCAGGCCTGATGGCACTTGAGGTGTCAGTGGCAGATAGGGATGCTGTTTGGAGTCTCTGGAAGGATCCAATAGGAGAAGCACAGTGGAAGCCCTTGGGGTTCCGAACAAGTCCCAACTGTCATCAGCAGACAACTAGTATCCCTTTGAGAAACAGATCTTGTCCCGCTTCGTAGGCCTTAGTGGAAATTAAACATTTGATAATGAGATGCCAGTTTATATCATGTGACCTGAGCTGCCCATGAACTTAACCCACAAAGCCATGAAGTTGGATGGTACATAGAAGCAATCATCATCAGACAGACACATATGTGATCAGGCCCAAGCTGGTCCTGAGGGCAAAAGGAAGTTAAAGGGAGATGTGCCCAATGAGTATGGTTTCTATGCACCCATGGCCTCATGGAGTGTGCCCTATGATGGATTGACTAAGCAAGAAAAGACCAAGACCTGGCTTAAGAATGTTCTTGCCAGCTGGGCGGTGATGGCGCATGCCTTTAATCCCAGCACTTGGGAGGCAGAGGCAGGAGATCTCTGTGAGTTCAAGACCAGCCTGGTCTATAGAGTGAGTTCCAGGACAGGCTCCAAAACAATACAGAGAAACTCTGTCTCAAAAAAAAAGAATGTCCTTGCCAGTGGCTGGAGAGATGGCTCAGAGGTTAAGAACACTGGCTGCTCTTCTGACCTGAAGGAATATATGCAGGCAGAACACTGTATACATAATAAATCTTTAAAAAAAAAAGAATAGTCCTTGCTAGCCAGGCAGGCGCACACCTTTAATCCCAGCACTCGGGAGGCAGAGGCAGGTGGATCTCTGTGAGTTTGAGGCCAGCCTGGTCTACCGAGAGAATTACCGGAACAGCCAGGGCTACACAGAGAAGACATGTCTTGAAAAAAAAAAAGAAAAGAATGATACTGAGGATGGTGGGGATGAAGAGATGGATTGCTCAAAGGCTGGAAGCTGCTCTTTCAGAGAACCTGGGCTTAGTTCCTAGTACTCTACATGGTGGTTCGCAACTGCCATGGAATCCAATTCTGACCTCAAGGAGTACCAGGCACGCATGTGGTACACACACACACACACACACACTCACTCACTCATACATTTGAGCACTCACACATACACATAAAATAAAAACAAAAACTTAAAAAAAAAGAGTGATCCTGTATAGTACACAAGTACTGCCCAGAAGCGTACAGCTACCATTTCAGCCCTTTCTGAAACAACCCTAAAGGACACTGAAGAAGGGAACCTTCACAATGGGCAGAGTTTCAGTTAGTGCACGTGGTCCTATGTGTTTCTTGGAAGGAGAAATGGCCAGATGTGTGGTTATATACTGGTTCACAGGCGGCAGCCAATGGACTGGCTGGATGATCAGGGACTTAGGAGAAACATGATTGGAAAACTGGTGAGAAAGACATCTGGAAAAGAAGTATGTGGATGGATGAAGGATGTGAACACACCTGTGTCCCGAGTAAATGCTTATCGAAAGTTGACTCAGCAGACGAGTTGTTCAATAATCAAGTAGCGAGGATGACGCATTCTGTGGACAGTCAGCCTCTTTCCCCAGCCATTCCTGTTAATGCCCACTGGGCGGGTGAACAGAGTAGCCACGGTGGCAATGAGGGTCATGCATGGGCTCAAAAGCATGGACTTCCACTCACCAAGGCTGACCTGACTACAGTGCCAGGTCTGCCACCAGTAGAGACCAATACTTACTTAGTTCAACATCCAAGTCAGAACATGGGTAATGGCAGGGGGCCTTAAATTGGTACAGCAGAAATGTATAGACAGGATTAGGGACTCAGCATCATATAACATATGCCTCCATAAATCTCAGAGACCTAAAATGGTGGGCATATATAAAACAGCTCAAGATCCTCTCCTGGGTCCCACAGCAAGAAAGTGATGAGAAAACTTCCATCTGAATGTACATCTAAAGAGAACAGACACACCTTCATCTTGAGGTGTGGCCTTACAGATGCCCTGCTCAGCCTTGATGCTGGGGAGCTGCAGGGGGTTGGTCATAACTGAATGTGCCAGGCTTTGTTGACTCCCCATGGGGGCCTTACCCTTTCTGAGGAGTGGATGGGGTTGGGTTGGGGGCAGGTGTGGGGGAAGGGGGAACTGCGGCTGGTACATAAAATGAATAATAAAATTATATATATAAGCCGGGCGGTGGTGGCGCACGCCTTTAATCCCAGCACTCACGAGGCAGAGGCAGGCGGATCTCTGTGAGTTCGAGGCCGGCCTGGTCTACAAAGTGAGTTCCAGGACAGCCTCCAAAGCTACAGAGAAACCCTGTCTTGAAAAACCAAAAAAAACCCCAAAAAAAACCAAAAAACAAAAAAACACTTCAATGACTGGAGAGGTTGGATGTTCGAAATCCACAGCCTAATTACAATTTATCCTGGGCTAGCTTTAGCTCCCTAAATAGCCATATTTTTGCCCACCTCCGTGTCTAACCTAGCATCCTATGACTAACAGATACAAACATTTTGGTATGTATTACATTGTTAAAATCTGTTTTGAATTGTATGTGTATGGGTGATCCGCCTGCATGTATGTCTTGTAAATGCAGAGGCCAGAAGAGCGAGAGGGCATAGGATCCTCTGAAACTGGACTTATAGGTACTGGTGAGCCATCATGTGTGTGCTGGGAGTTGAACCCTGGTCTTCCATAAAAGCAAGAAGTGCTATTAACCACTGAGCCATCTTTCTGATCCTGAAAGGTTGATTAAACACAGGGGTGTGGTGATGCAAGCCTTTAATCCCAGCAGTAGGGCAGTAGAGGGAGGAGGGTCTCTGTGAATCTGAGATCAGTTTTGCCTACATAGTGAGCTCCCGGCTAGCCCGAGCTACAGTGAGGCTTTGTCTCAAAAAAAAAACAAACAAACAACAACAACAAAACACAACTGCATGGCGCACTGTCTTACTTAGGGTTTCTATTGTTCCGGAGAGACACTATGACCATGGCAACTTTTGTTTTGTTTTTTTTTTTTTTTTTGAGACAGTGTTTCTCTGTGTATCGCTTGCTATCCTGGAACTCGCTCTGTAGACCAGGCTGCCCTAGAACTCACAGAGATCCGCCTGCCTCTGCCTCCGGAGTGCTGGGATTAAAGGTGTGCGCCACCAATGCCTGGCCCGGCAACTCTTATGAAGGAAAAGATTTAATTGAGGTGCGGCTTACAGGTCAGAGTTTCAGTCCATTATCATGGCGGGGGACATGGCAGTGTGTAGGCAGGCATGGTGCTGGCTATGTCTTCATCAGAAGGAGACAGGAAGTGGACTCAGTGTCACACTGAGAGAAACTTGAGCAAAAACTTGACCTCAAAGCCCCCACAGTGACACACTTCCTCAAACAAGGCCACACAACCTAATAGTGCCACTCGCTTTGGGAGCCATTTTCTTTCAATCCACCACAGAAATGAAATTTAATTTTAAGAAAAGAGAGGCTCATAGGAGGCTGAGGCTGAGGCCATGATGGTCAATCAAATAAGTTCCAGATTAGCCTCAAAAAACTGACAAGGGTGAGGGAGGCCAGAGAAATGGTTCAATGGTTAACAGCAATGGCTGCTCTTCCAGAGGACCTGGGTTCGATTCCCAGAAACCACATGTTGGCTCACACTGTCTGTAACTCCAGGCCCAGGGGATTCAATGCCTTCTTGTGGCCTTCTGAGGCAGCAGATATTCAGCAGCCAAAACATCTACACTCATAAAATGAACAAATAATTTCGGCAAGTGGAGTGGACCTGGCAAAAATGTTTGCCATGCAAGCCGGACCTGAGTTTGATCTCAGTGAAAGGAAAAAACCGACTCAACTCTCAAAAGTTGTCCTCTGCCTGGCAGTGGTGGTACTCGCCTTTAATCCCATTATAAGCATTTCGACAGATCAGATAGGAGGGACAGGGATGGATTATGGCACTCGGGAGTCACAGAATACTGAGTATCACAGCTCGGATAGAAAGGTATTCTGGCAATGAGGAGCCAAGGACTACCACAGGTCACAGTAAGCATAGCAGCTTACAGTCCTGCTTCAGGGAGAGGCTTCCCCAGTGGATCAGCTCTGCTCCTGCAGGAGTCGGTTTCCCGGAGAAGTTGTTACACTCCCTTTGCTTAGCCAGGGGAAGGTTTCCCTGGGCAAAAAGTGTTACAGCCCTGCTCCACTCTGCTCTGGGTCATCTCTGCTGCAGCGAAAGAAGATCTCATCCAAACCTCATTCAAGAGATTTGTTGGGAGGGAAGAATCCAGGAGAGTGGCTGCCTTCTGCCAGGGTGGCAGAGGACAGCTGTGCAGCCGGAACAGTCAGAAGCTGAACACACACAGGGTTTCTATAGGGCTTCTTAGGGGCCGAGTTTTTCAGGGTAGGGACTGGTCAGATTTCAATCCCTGGGCTTAGGATGGCTAGATCTCCTGCTCAGGAATTGGTTAGTTTCTGCACAGCTTTAGGGTCACATTTGGTTCTGGTTGCAGGGCCAAAGTGTGTTTCTTTCTCTGGTCCTTTTTAGCCTTTTGGCTCTAGTTTTCGGGCCAGGGTGCATTTCTTTCACTGACTCTGATTCCAGGGACAAAGTGTGTTTCTTTGGCACTGGTTTCAGGGTCAGGGTGCCTTTTTTGGTTCTGGTTGCAGGGCCAAAGTGTGTTTCTTTGGCTCTGCTCAGGGTGTGTTTCTTTGACTGGCTCCTTTTCCCTACACCCATCACTCGGGAGGCAGAGGCAGGCGGATCTCTGTGAGTTCGAAACCAGCCTGGTCTACAGAGTGAGTTCCAGGACACCCAAGGCTATAAAAAGAAACCCTGTCCTGACCCCCCTCGTAAAAACAAAACAAACAAAAAACCAGGACCTACCATGTCCAGTCTGAGAGTTTTCTTAACATTGTTGAGAACGGTGTGTCTGAAATTCAATTCAAAATGAAACGGCACAGGTCTAAGAGACTGAAAATGATTACCGGATGCACTTTGTACCAAACCTTAGTACAAGCCAGTAATGCCAGCTTCTTAACAGGGCTGCAATTTGGACTTTGTTAGACATGATTCGAACCTACTTTCACCAACAGCAACGGAAGTTCTGGATCGGAAACACGGACTGCCAACCCTAGAGTCTCTGCGCAGGTGCAGAACCAGCAGCCAATAGGAACATGAGCCGGAGGACGTAGCCACTTAGAGTGCCAGAAAATCTTGGTACCTAGGAAGAGTTCGAAGTACGTAATCTCAGGGTGGTGATGGGAACTCACAGATCTGTTTGTTCCCACCCTACCAAAATCCTGCCAATTCAAGGCCAAGCAGAGGTTCCCTGGCGAGCTTCTATGAGCTCATGGTGACAGTAGCTGCCAGCCAGAGGCACCAGGGGCGGTAGGGTCAGCCCTAGGCCCAGGAGTCTGTAGGACGCCATCTTAAAACAAACAAACAAACAAACAAACAAATAAATAGATGGGGCTGGAGAGGTGGCTCAGCGGTTAAGAGCACTGGCTGCTCATCCAGAGGTCTCAGGTTCAATTCTCAGTAACCACATGGCAGCTCACAACTGTCTAACTCCAAGTCCAACACTCTCACACTGACATACATGCAGGCAAAACACCAATGCACATGAAATAAAAATATTAAAAAACATGGAGAGGTAGGGGGGGTGTTGCATGCTTGCAATACAGCACTTGGGAGGCTGAGGTACAAGGATTTTGAGTTCAAGTCTAGCCTAGAATACAAAGAAAGACCCAGTATAAAAGAAAAAAAAACAGTTGGCATGGTGGCATTTGGAAGACAGATGCATGTCAGCCTGGTCTACATAGTGAATTCCAGGCTAGCCAGAAATACATAGCAAGACCCTGTCTGTCTCTGGAAAAAAAGAAAAGAGAAAAGTACTTACTACTGGCTAATTATTAAACATATTCTCAAAACAGGCAGGGTGACACATGGCTGTAATCACAGCACTTTAGAGGCGGAGGCAGATGAATCAAGAATTCAAGGTCAGTGGGTATGCTGGCATATGCCTTTAATCCTAGCACTTGGGAGGCAGAAGCAGGCTCTGTAGACACCAGGAACACACGTAGTCCACACATACACATGCAGGCAATCACCTAGACACATTAAAAATAAAAGACTGCCAGGCATTGGTGGCTCACACCTTTAGTCCCAGCACTCTCGAGGCAGAGGCAAGAGGATCTCTGTGATTTCGAGGTCAGCCTGGTCTACAAGGGCTAGCTACAGGACAGCCTCCAAAGCCACAGAGAAACCCTGCCTCAAAAAACCAAATAAATAAATAAATAAATAAATAAAAATAAAATAAAAGACCCTAAGAAAAATTCTTTGCTGGGCATGGTGGTGCGTGCCTTTAATCCCAGCACTCAGGAGGCAGAAGCAGATGGAGCTCTGTGAGTTCAAGGCCAGCATGGTCTATAGAGTGAGTTCCAGGACAGCCAGGGCTATAGAAAGAAACTCTGTCTCACAAAAAAGGGAAGTTTTCCCACTGGCTAGCAAGCTTGAGACCCTAAATTCAGTCTCTGGTGCCATAAGATAGTAAATAGTCTATTAGATTTCAGTGGCTTCTGCTTGGCTTCTAGCTATCTGCAAATGGACAATGACAATGGTCTCTATGTAGCATGGCTGCCCCTCTGGACAGGTCATGGGCTCTCCATGATGCCTGAGTGAGTCCACTGCTGGGTGGCCTTCCTTCTCGAGAGCACGGGACTCTGCAGTTACCCTGACTGTCTCTGGTTCTTTCTCCATCTTTATCAGCTGATCTCTCTGCAAGCATGGAAAACTCAAGAGAGGAGTGTGGGCACATGCTTTTCTAATTCCACCCAGGGGTTCAGAAATCACCCCATCCTCCTCATGCTGTGTATGGCAAGTGTCTCTCCCATAAACCCCAGCTACTTCATACTGCCTTGACACTCAGAGCTTTATTTGCCGCCTGACCTTACCTAACTGTTCCGCCTGCATATGACTAGTGAACAGTATCTCAACTTAGCATTCTGAATGGTAAGGCGGGTAAAATGGCACAGTAAGTCAAAATGCTCACTGTGCAAGCCTGATAACCTGAGTTCTATTTCCAGAATGCACTTAAATGTGGAAGGGGAGAAACCACTCCACAGAGTTGACCTCTGACCATCCCATATGCATCATGGCACATGTGTCCATACCTACCTATCATGCACATATGCATAATTACAAATACATCTAAAGAAGGCTAGCAGGCAGCTAGGATGGCAGACGAGGAGGAAGCCCCCCACCTTTGAGGAGGAAAATGAAGAAATTGGAGGAGGAGCAGAAGGTGGACAGAGGAAAAACGAAGAGGCTTTTCTCCAAAGAATTGCAATGTATAATGTATGGGTTTGGGGAAGACCAGAATCCTTACACTGAATCAGTGGACACTCTTGAAGACCTTGTCATAGAGTTCATTACTGAAATGACTCACAAGGCATCATAGAGTTCATTACTGAAATGACTCACAAGGCAATGTCCATTGCAAGACAGGGTCGAGTGCAAGTTGAAGATATTGTCTTCCTGATTCAAAAGGACCCAAGGAAGTTTGCTAGAGTTAAAGACTTACTATGAATGAAAAATTGAAACGGGCTAGAAAAGCCTTCGACGAAGCCAACTATGGGTCTTGACATGGTTTGTAATATCTGAAATTTTGATATTTTGTTTGGAAATCATACATTATAATTTGTCTACAGTAATATCATGATAGCTAGGTATGCAATGAAAGAGGTCTTCAGTTTTAGCTTTATAACTTAAACCTTTCATTGCTTGCGTTTTATCTGACTGTATTTAATTCTTTGCTGGGCTTTAATGACTACTAACTTAAAATATTACCAACTGTGTAGTTCCATCTGAAAAAGGTAAAATAGTATTTAGGTAGACTTGTGTAGTCCAAGCTATATACCATGGCTGCATAGTATGAAATCTAAATATCGTTTTGACTTTGTGAAAGTTGAGGCTTGTGCTTTATGTATTTCAAGTTTTTGTGACAGTGGAAGGAGAAGTTATAAAAGAGAAATAACTGGTTTGTGTTTCTTTTAAGGAACTAAGTTCTTGTAAGAATCTTTATCTGTCTTAATAGATCATTTATTTTAATATTTTCTAAAGAATACTTTCTTTTAAAAGAAACTACTACTTGTTAAGTGTTAGTGGACCTCATCTTCCTTGGTAACAATAAAGTCTCTAAAAATAAATGTTTTCAGTAGTAGGGATGGCAAAGCTTATAAACCTGATGTCAGGACAGGTATTCTGGGTGGTGTTATATGACATAAATGTAAGTACTCTCATTGTGAAAATGTGTAGTTGACTAAACCTTTGTGTGGCTGTGCAAACCATTTTCATAGTTAAGGATATGCAGGCTTTGTGTGTATTTAGTTTATCACATTAAATTATTGTTCTATTTAGCTTATAATAAGGATTAAAATTGCACTTAAAGAGATTACTGAATATTATTCTGTGAAACTTACTTCTGTGCTTCTTAATATCTCTAAATCAGTAGTTGGAGAAATATCACCCATTTAATCTGCTGATACAAGGGATAAAGGATGAAAAATTTAACACACTAAAAAAATACATCTAGCTGGGCGGTGATGGTGCACGCCTTTAGTCCCAGCACTGGGAGGCAGAGGCAGGTGGATCTCTGTGAGTTCAAGACCAGCCAGAGCGAGTTCCAGGACAGCCTCCAAAGCCACAGAGAAACCCTGTCTCGAAAAACCAAAAAAAAAAAAAAAAACCATGTAAAGCTATGAATGATAGTATTAATGGCTTAGATTCCCACATCACAACCGGGCCATATGGTGGCCAGACATGGTAGTGTGTTTCTTTAATCCCAGCACTTGGGAGGCAGAGACAGGTCAATCTTTGTGAGTTTCAGACCAACCTAATCTACACAGTGAGTTCCAGGCCAACCAGAGCTACACAACGAGACCTCTCCATGTAAAAAACAAATAACCCACCCCAAACAATGGAGCCATGTTCATATTAATATAAATTTTCAAATCAAGCATGTGTTAACTCAAGCTTTCACATATGAGAAAGAACATGTGCTACTTACCTTTCATTACCTGGCACAATGGCCTCCAGTTCCATGCATTTTGCTGCAAATGATGTGACTTCCTCTTTTGGGCAGAATAGTATCCCATTTCATTCTTCTTCATAGCTGAACAGCACATTGATAGTGTCATGATAAACATGTGCAAATCATACATTAATGAAAAGTGAATTTTTGGCAATGCAAGGAATTGAACATACACTAGGCATGCTCCCTGTCCTCATCCATGATCCCTGTAGAGTATCTAAAGTGCACAATGTACCCTTTAAAGAGGTATTTTGTTTCATTTTTAAAATAGAGTCTCTGTGATCCACACTATCTAATTTAGAATTCTCTCTATATATCACATGCTGGCTTCCAATTCGTGGCCCTCCTACCTCAGTCTCCTTCTGGCTTCTACAGGTACCAGATATTCATGTAGTATACAGATATACATGTAGGCAAAACATTCATACACATTAATTTTTTTCAAAGTTCAACATCTGCAACTATCATCTGGATGGGTCCTAAAAGGAATCATAATTATCCTTTTTGTTTTATTATGCATGTGTCTGGGGCGATCACTCTAGCACTGGGATTCAGAGTAGTCCCTACAGTGTTCTCTCTTTTTTATTTTAAAATGCATTTTTATTTTATGTGTATAAGCGTTTGCCTCCCTGTATGTGTGTACACCGCGTAGTATGCTACACACATGCCCAGAGGTCAGAAGAGGGCACTGGATCCCCTGGAATGGACATATAGACAACTGGGAGCTGCCATGTGGGTGCTGGGAAGTGAACTTAGGTCCTTTGAAGAGCAGCCAATTCCCTTAAGAACTGAGCCATCGCCGGGCATTGGTGGCGCACGCCTTTAATCCCAGCACTCGGGAGGCAGAGGCAGGTGGATCTCTGTAAATTTGAGACCAGCCTGGACTACCAAGCGAGTTCCAGAACAGCCTCCAAAGCCACAGAGAAACCCTGTCTCGAAAAAAAACAAACAAACAAACAAAAAGAACTGAGTCATCGCTCCAGCCACCAGAGTGTCCGTCTAAGAGGAAGGCGGGGTGATGCAGACAGAACACTAGAAGACACACCGGGAGGAGAAGGCAGTGTGTGATCGTGGAGGCAGAGGCGGCAATAGCTAAGCCACAGACCAGGAGAGGCTGGCCGCCATCAGAAGCTGGAAGGAGCGGGGGACGAAGCGCCCTGTAAATCCCAGGATCAGCAGTCCATCCATCTTCCTCTTGCGCCTGCCACTTCCCACCCTCCCCCAATCACTAACTGGGAGAGAAAGAGCTTTCTGATGTTTTCCCTGTACCATCTGGCACCACTCTGCGCACACAATAGATTGTCAACACATACTGTTTAAACAGGAAGAAGTCAGGCATGGTGGTGCACACCTGATGCCCCAGCTAGTTGGGAGCTGAGTCAGCAGCATCACTTGTTTCCAGGAAGAGTTCAAGATCCCCTTGAGCAGCTGTATGGGAGTTGCCTATGCACTGGGTTTGCTTGCAGAATGGACAAGATGGTGGCGGGTGATATGGGGCTCGGCCTGCAGGTGGCAGCAAAAGCTTAGACAGGGAGACAGGAAGGCCACTTTTTCCTCCAGTGCAAGCACGGTAGGATTTCCAGGCAGTTGAACTCAGGGCAGGAACCTGGATGGGCAGCCCTTGCTCCCTGGGAAAGGGAGACTCAGCTTGCTTTCTCTGCCAGGCCCCCTCATCCCTCAAGCTCCCAAGAGCGCACTTTACTTTTCTGTCCTTGAGTCACTTGGCCCCAGCAGCATATGAGCTATATTCATGACCTTGCCTGGTTCCTTCATTGACCAACTGGAGAAGCAGAGACACCAAGAGGCCTAGGAATCTGTTCAAGATCATCCAGCGTGACATCAGTAATGAAACTGGAGCAGGAAAATGGCACAGGGTTCCAGAAATGGACCCCTATGCTCGCTCTTGTCCCATGTCTCCCTTGAACATAATCACAATGACCCTTCTTTCTTACTTTTTTTTTTTTTTTGCTCTTTTGAGACAGGGTTTCTAATGTATAGCCCTAGCTGTCCTAGAACTCCCTCTGCACACCAGGCTGGCCTTGAATTTACAGAGATCCTCGTGCCTCTGCCTCCCAAGTGCTGGGATTAAAAGTAGGCACCACCACTCCCTGGACACGGTGACTTTTTCAAAGACAAATAAGATGACTTTGATTCTATGAGGAAAGACAAATTCTTGCCCTTGATGAGCAAGAGGAAGCAGGAGCCAAGTGGCCTCCCGGCCTTCCCCTGTTAAGATTCAGTAGGCCTTCTTTGCCACAGAATCTACGGCCTCAGCCTCAGCCAATGCACTGGGTGTCATTTGAGATTGCTGGTCTCAACACTTTCTAGTATGCAAGAGGAAGGAGAAAACAGTCCACAGGGAGCAAGGCCTAGGTCCTGAGGCACACAGTAACTGCAGTACAGTAGCAGGGCTAAGATTAGGCTCGCCCTGCCTCTCAGTGCTCAGTGCTAAGGGAGAACTTCTACCACTCCCTACAGTCACTACCAAGTTCTCCGAAGAGACGGCTGACAATTGTTCTAAAGCAGACATGAGAACTTTGCTTCCTTTGGAAAGTTATTGATCTTTGGAGGGGAACACTTGATATACTTTTGGCCCATCTGATAGAAAAAGTAACCCATGAACCTTGTAATCTCTCCTAAGAACGCCTTTGTCCTGAGAGCTTTCCTTCTCCTACTGTTGTTTAAGGATGTGAGGTCTACAAGTGCAGGTTCTGTCTTGGACCATAAAGCACCAACCACGAAAACAAAAATCTGTGGCTTTTTTATTGGAGTACATGCTAGGCGAATGCCCCACCCAAATGGGTGTAGCCTCTTCTTAAGAGCTTTTTTTTTTTTTGACAGGGTTTCTCTGTGGCTTTCCTAAGAGCTTCTAAAGCTCTTTAAAAACTAAAAAAAAAAAAACACCATAGTTTCAAATTTATGTGTATTGGTATTTTGCTTGCATGTATGTTTGTGTGCCACATGTGTACTTAATGCCTGGTACCAGGTGCCAGAGGCCCGAAAAGGTGATCAGGTCCTCCTGGGACTGGAATTACAGACACCACATGGATACTGGGAATCAAACCATAGAAATCAAATGGAAGAGCAGCTGGTGCTCTTAACTGCTGAGCCATGTCTCCAGCCCCGATGCGCATTCTTTTGTTTGTTTTTTGAGACAGGGTTTCTCTGTGTAGCTTTGAAGCTTGTCTTGGAACTTGCTCGGTAGAGGTTGTCCTCGAACTCACAGAGATCTGCTTGCCTCTGCCTCCACCTGCTCCTGAGTGCTGGGATTGAAGGCGTGCGCCACCACTCGGCCTCGTGCAATCTTAAAGATGGTCAGGATGGAGGAAGGAAGGAAATGATGGCTCTCGGTATAAGTTCCCGACCTCATCTTTTCTGGTAATGGTAAGAGAAAGAGCCTTCTCACCTGCGGGCACTCTGCTGTGACTCTGTGTTATTTGTGTAGGGAAGACCACCGAGCCAACAGAGGCCCTTTTCACAGAATCTCTTTTTTTTCCGGTTTTGAGACAGGTTTCTCTGTAGGTTTGGAGACTGTCCTGGAACTTTCTTTGAAGACCAGGCTGACCCCAGACTCACAGAGATCCGCCTGCCTCTGCCTCCCAAGTGCTGGGATTAAAGATGCGTACCACCACTGCCCGGCTCACACAATCTCTTAACTGGCCCTTGGGATGGCCCAGTTTATAGACAGGAAACTCACCTACAAAGACTGTATGTTTTCAATGTCATCCAGCCTCTCTCTCCTTCTCCTCTTCCTCTTCTCCCCCGACTCTGTGTCTGTGCCTGAGACAAGATCTTTTGTAGCCTTGACTGGCCTTAAAACCTATTTCGATGAACACGTGAGCTTCCGCCCCTCTACCTACCAAATACTGAGATTACAGACCTGTAGCATAATACACAGCTCAAATGTCTTTCCTCGAGGTGTCCCCAGATCCTGCTTTGACTTAAGGGCATGTACTCTCTGACTGGCAAAATGGTTCAGCTGGGAAACAGCTGTACAGTCCTGATGATGGGGTGTATATCCCCAGAACCTCTGTAAAGGTAGAGAGAACTGACTCCATAAAGCTGTCCTCTGACCTCCGCACAGTCACTGTGTCATATGTGCCCCATTATCATACACACTATAATAACAAATACACACACACACATATATATACACATGTATACACACACACACACATAGTGGTTTTTCAAGACAAGGTCTGTCTGTGTAGCTCTGGATGTCCTAGAACTCGCTCTGTACACCAGGCTGGCCTCAAACTCAGATTCACCTGCCTCTGCCTCTCAAGTGCTGAGACTAAAGGTGTGTGCCACCTCCACCTGGCAATAAATACATTTTTAAAAAAATGGTGGTGGAGCCAGGTGTTGAGGCGCACACCTTTAGTCCCAGCACTGAGAGGTAGAGGCAGGCAGATCTCTGTGAATTAAGGCCAGCCTGGTCTACAGAGCGAGTTCCAGGACAGACTCCGAAGTTACAAAGAGAAACTCTGTCTTGAAAAAACAAAACTAAAACTAAAAAAATAAAAAAAGAAATGGTGCCAGGCATGATGGCACACACCTTTAATCCCAGCACTTGGAAGGATCTCTGAGTTCAAGGCCAACCTGGTCTATACAGTGAGTTCACAGGACAGCCAGAGTAATGTAGAGAAACAGTGTCTTGGAAAAAAATAAAAGAAACAGCAAGCACCCTTTGTGGGATAGAAATATACTCTGTAATAGAAAGACAATCCACAGAATGGAAGAAAGTATCTGCAAATCATATCTGGTGAGGCATTTATATCCAGAATATATAGACAATTCTAGAAACTCAACGCCAGAAAAAAAAGCAACCAAAGTAGAAATGTGCAAAGGATGCTGGGGAGATGCCCACTCAGAGTAGTGCTTGTCTTGCAAGCATGAGGACCCGAGTTCTATCCCCAGAGTCCATGTTAAAAAGGCCACTGTGGCACAAAGCACTCTTGTGACCCCAGTAATGGGGAAGAGCAGACAGGACCAGCACCCGCTGGTATGAAAAGTACTTCTGGAGCTAACCACTGAGCATGTCCTCTAGCCTCTACCCGTGTGTGCGCACACATTAAAATGTAAAAACTTCAAAAGAGAAATGGACAAAGAACACACGTAGACACGCCCCCCCTTTTTTTTTTTTACTTTTCTACTCTGCCCTGGGACAGGTCCATAGGTCATTATTCTTTTTTTTTCATTAAATTTATGATGGCATTGTTCTTGATTCCCATGGTAACTTAAAGAGACACTTACAGTGTCCAGGGTCCTTGATGTCCTGCAGATGAAGGATGTCAGCACATTCCTTGCTGCAGGAACCCACGTGGTAGCAGCAACCTTGACTTTCAGACGGAGCAGTACATCTATAAAAGGAAAAGAGAGCTATTTACTGATAATCCCTGGGAGAAGGTGTTGCTTGCAGCTCGGGCTATTGCTGCCATTGGGAACACTGCTGATGTCAGTGTCATCTTCTCCAGGAACTCTGGCCAGCGAGCCATGCTGAAGTTTGCTGCTGCCACTGGAGTTACTCCAATTGCTGGCTGCTTCATGCCTTGGACCTTCGCTAACCAGATCCAAGCAGCCTTCAAGGGAGCCTTCTAGTGGTGACTGATCCCAGGACTGACCCCAGCCCCTCAGAGGCATCCTATGTCAACTGCCCACCATTGCTCTGTGTAACACAGACTCTCCTCTGTGACACCTGGACATGGCCATTCCATGCAACAACAAGGGAGCTCACTAGGTAGCTGTGATGTGGACAATGGCCTGGGAAGTACTGGGCATGCGTGAGCACCCATGGGAGGTTATGCTTGAACTACAGAGACCCAGAGGGCATTGAGAAGGACAAGCAGGCTGCTGCGGAGAAGACTGTGACCAAGGAGGAATTTAGGGCTGAATGGACTGTACCAGTACCTGAGTTTACTGCTGCTCAACCAGAGGGGGCAGAGTGGCCTGAGGGTGTGCTGGTACCCTTTGTTCCCACCCAGCAGTCCCCCACTAAATACTAGAGTGCTTAGCCAGTCACTGAGGACTGGTCAACAGCTCCTTAATGCAGACTACCAAGTGACTCTGCAGACCACTGAGCAAGGGGTGGGGAGGTGGAAGGAAAAGAAAGTTCCTAAGGTGCGCTGACTACTCATCCAGAGTACCCGGGTTCAGTTCCCAGCACCCACACGCTGGCTCACAGTCATTCATAACTCCAGTTCCAGGGGGATCTGACACCTCCTTCTGACCTGCATGGGCACCAGGCATGCATGTTGTATACATACAGACATGTGTCATACACATAAACAAATCTAAAAAATAGTTTTTCAGAAGCTCAGGATGCAGAGGCAGGTGGATCTCTGTGACTTTGAAACCAGCATAGTTGACTTAGCAAGTTCCAAGCCAGCAGGACTACACAGTGAGATCTTGTCTCAAAAAATGTTTACACTTGCTTATTTTCGTGTTTGAGACAGGGTCTCATACAAGCTAGGTTGACTCAAAAATCACTAAATAGCCAAGGATGACCTTGAGCTCCTGAGCCCCATCAGTATTTAAGTAGTGCTGACCTTATTTAAGTTGTGGGATGTCGAGAGGGAAGGTCGGCACGGCTCCAGCACTTCACCCAGCACCCTCTCGACTGTTTGCAGCATAGCTGTGTCAGCTTAGGTGAATACTTGCCTAACCCTCAACTTGCTGATTAGCATGGTTTAATGAAATGCATATGAGTGCCAAGTTAACAAGGGGTGTGTCTTACTCTGTTCTAGTGCTGTGAAGAAACACTATGACCTTGACAACTGTTTTGTTTTGTTTTGTTTTGTTTTGTTTTCCAAGACAGGTTTCTCTGTGTGACAGTTGGTCTTGAATTCAGAGAGATCTGCCTGCCTCTGCCTCCCGAGTGCTGGGATTAAAGGGGTGCATGACCATGCCAGGCTATGGGGGCCCATCTTTATTCAAACCATCACAGGTGAGCTTTGCTGGATAATTTTATGTGTTGGGTTGGCTGGGATGTCAGGTGCCCCAGTTAAACATTATTTCTGGGTGTGTCCCATGAAGTCTACTGAGTGCCTGGACTGAGCAATACAGGTGGCCCTCCATCTTGTGAATGGGCTTCATGCAACCCACTGAGGGTCAGAACAGAGCAAAAGGCAGAGGAAGGGGGATTTGCTCTTTCTGCTGGAGGGCTGGAGCTGGGGTGTGTTCTCTTACGCTCAACTGAACTTCCGTAATTGTCCCCCTGGCTCTCATAGCTTCCAGGTGGCTTACTATGGGACCTCTCAGTTTCTAGAACATGACTTAGTTCCTTTAACTAAGTCATATATCGGTTCTGTTTATTGGAAGAATCCGTACTAATACACGCAATCATTTTACTTATACGCCTGACAGTAACCTAAGTGCACAAAGCAGTGGTCACAAGGCTGATGGGAGTGATGAAACCTTGTAAAGGCAAACGGTTTGTGTCTCAGTGACTAAGAGTGCCTGCTGCTCTTCAAGAGAACCCAAGTTCAGATCCCAGCACCTGTGCCAGGCACAACTGCCTGCAACTCTACCTCCAAAGGATTTGATGCCTTCTTCTGGTCTCCACGGGCACCTCCACATGTGGCATATAATGCAGACACGTTTTAGAATTAGTTTTCAGAAAAGCCTAACAATTAAGAGAAGCATGAGTGGGAAAATCTTATAAATATCCACTTATAACACAGGTATGGGGACATACCCTGTAATTCCAGCACTCAGAAAGCAGAGACAGGAAGAATCAGTCTCAGGCTAAGACCATCTTGGGCAGCTACATAAAGAGACTATCTATAAAAGAACAACAAAAAGGATAAAAAAGAACAACAAAAAGGCCATTCATAACCAATAACTATTGCTGAGTGATATGAGTGATGGGTAGGTTCTTACTGAACCCAGGGTGGCCACTAAGTACAATGCAAACATTGGCCCTGTGAGTACTTGCAGAGTGAGGTGCCCTTTACAAGACAAGCAAAGGAGAGCCAGATGTGGTAACCCAGACTGCATGCCTGCATATGCTCACGAACACACATGGAAGTATCTAAGATGAAACACCTGGAATTGACTCCAACCATGGTCATTTCCTGGATGGGCAGGGAAGGGCCTGCATGGTCCATATACTAATAGGTAGCATTCACTCGCATCTTTATTTTCCAGTGCTGGTAATCAAGCGCACAGCCTAGTACTGTCAAGGCCAGTGCCCTATCACTGAGTCACTAAGCCACATCCTCAACCCTGTTATTTTTATTCTTATTTTGGGGTTTCTCCAGACAGGGTCTCTCTGTGGCTTTGGAGGCTGTCCTGGAACTAGCTTTGTAGACCAGGTTGACCTGGAATTTACCACCACCACCTGGCATTCAACCCTTTTTTTTTGAGACAGGATTTCACTATGGAATTCACTCTGTAGCCCAGGGGGATCTGCAACTCACAATTCTCCTCCCTTGGCCTCTTGAAGGCTGGAATTACAGACCTGTACCACCAACCTAGCACCACAAACCTCTTTTTTTGTTGTTGTTGTGCTGGGAATTGACCCCAGATCCAGGCAAACATGCTATCACTAAGCTATATCTCTAGCCCTGTTCTCACCTTTAATTTTGAGAGAGGATCTTGATAACTTTCCCAGGTTGGCCTGAAATTTAAAAAATGTAAGTTTTTATTTGATGTGAATGTGTGTTTTGTGAGCACACATGGCTGTGTGCTACTTGTATGCCTGCTGCCTGAGAAGACCAGAGGAAGGCGGAGCTACAGTCACAGACCTCAAACATGGGCATCTGGAAAAGCAGCCAGTGCTTTTAAACACTGAGCCATCTCTCTGGCGCCCTGAAACTTTTGGTACTCCTCCTTCAGTCTTCTAAGTAGCTAGGATTATAAGCCTCTGCCACCAGGCCTGTCTGGAAATAATTTTAACAAGGAAAGCAACACTTTTAATAACACCAGGGCATGCAGTATTTATGTCTGGGGTAACAAGGGTGTGTCTAGAAGTGTAAATGTCAAACTCACCTATCTCTGGTCCAGATGTAACCCATAAGAGAGGAGAGAGCTTGGCTCAGAGTGAGGCAAGCGGTAGAGGGAAGGGACGGGGACCAAGGGGGGGGGGAGGAACTAAGAGGGTCCTAATATAGCAAGACCCTGCTTCCAAAAACTCTGGGCTCTGGCTAGAGAGATCGGTCAGCAGTTAAGAGTACCGGCTGCTCTTCCGGAGAACCCAGGTTCAATTCCCAGTACTCATGTAGCAGCTCACACATGTCAGAATCCCCTCCCATTGCAGGGGATTCAATGCCATCTTCTGGCCTCTGCAACGTGAAGCATGAAGGTGGTGCAGAAATACAAGCAGGCAAAACCCATATCCATTAAAAAGAAATCTTCACTTAGAAACAGACTCATGCCACATGAGAATGGTTACACTGTCTAACTCAGACACTGAAATGCTTCACACCCTGGTCCCATACTCCAAGGAAGATCAAAGCTTTCTCACAGAGTGATACTAGTCTCTTAACACCTGGGATGGGTGGCTCATCTGTGCTATTATGAATGAATGCTTAGCGGGATTTGACACACCTGGAAATTGACAGAGCAGGACCATTAGAAACCAGCCTGAAAAACGTATCAAGACCCTCATCTCAAAAGAGGAAGCCCTTCTTTATTTTCTTTAAGAGAGGGTTTCTCTGTGTACCTTTGGAGCATCTCCTGGCTCTCACTCTGTAGACCAGGCTGGCCCCGAACTCACAGAGATCCGCCTGCCTCTGCCTCCCGAGTGCTGGGTTTAAAGGCGTGAGCCACCAATGCCTGGCCAGAGGTGCTTTTCCTTTCAAGGTCTTCGGGGTTTGGTTTGGCTCTCACAGTGCTTGGGATAGAACCCAGGGACTGTGTCCCAGTGCTGAGCCATGCCCTGGGTTTTAAGTTAGTGACTTCGTGCTTTGTACCTCTTGCCTCTGTCCCCACCCAGTGTCCTCGGCCAGCACCTCCCATTCCTGCCCCTTGATCTCCGGGCACAGAGCCAGTCTCAGCCACAACCTACCTGCCATGTCGCATTCTCTGCCCTCCAGTCAATCGGTCAGGATGTGGGGTCAAACGCCTGAGAGTCAGGTGAGTGCGGGGGCCCTGGAGGCTTTGGGCATGTGTGTTGGCCAGGCTGGAGCTACCCAACCTGGGTCAGCTGACTTGCTTCCCTTCTCAGGAACACATTTGCAGCTTTACCATCCCTCCTCTCTCGAAGCTAACCACAGGCCAGTGTTGTGTGGGGAGGTTGGGAGGGCCCAGGCTAAGGGGTGACTGCTCTCTCAGGCTGGTTCAGTTGGGAGTCAGTTCAGCCTCAGACTTGTGGAGATAGTCAAGGATGGCTCCTAGTGAATGCCACTGGGACTCTCATGAT